GTCAACATGATTTTAGGTACTTTTGTATGGATATGTGTCTGATAGCTCCAACATCATCTTTCTTAAATATAGGATGAGGTTTTATTGTACATATTAGTTTAAACATTCACTAAGATATTTGTGAGTATTCAGAGCTAGAATCTATTTGTAGTTACAATGTTTAATCAGATTAAGTAGGTAGTTTTAAAAAGCTGTAATTATGTTGCAAGCGTAAAAATCAGTAAACTCGGAAGAACTTTCAAAATATGAAGAAAAGATAACTGCAAAATGTATAGGGTTCTGTAAATACATGAGAATGCGGATGCAAATTCTAGTAGTTCCCTAAATTGTCATATTACTAAAATGTTCCTGATGATGGAGGAAGTAACAGTAAATGTGATATTTGCCATATCTTCCTCTTCGTTATTATTATAAATAAAATTTTACAAGGATTTTGATATTGTCATTTTTCTTCTTTTTTTTTACATCATAAATCTTAGATCTTAAAGGGATTTTTTAAAGAGCAATTATCATAATTTTTATTTGCATGCGAGTAAAAAATCTGGGTTCAAAAATATTGCCCACTTTTTCTAAGTTTATACTGAGAAGTTAGGGTACGTTGCAACGCAATGATTTCAATTAAGCTTTATTTCTTTTTCTGGGGATCATATTCTCTCAAAGAGATTTTCCTGGAGATTCACATTACTGTTTAATAGTAACCATGGGATTTAATATTAATAACAAAAATATTAAACAATGAAAACGTTTGTATTTCTTAACACTTTCGGGTTCTTTTTTTAATATAACAAATCGGTTAACGCTTGTTTATTTTAATATTTAATTTTGTCATCGGAATGGCGGGATAATTTACATTTGGCTCTGCACTTTCACTTCGATTCAGAATATCAGGAAAGACAAAAAAAATAAAGGGCTATAAAACAATCGTATATGCGTAAATTTCTAAGATGAGGTATTTATGTACACTATTTACATTATTCGGACTATTGTCCTCATCTTTGCCGCCATATTCATTACAACATTTCGGGCTTTGTACGCTCCGGCCTTCTTCAAGAGGTTGGAATGTCGAACTGAACCCTTTATTTCACTCACTGGGGTAGGATGTTCTAGTTCCTCGTGCCATGTTTAATGAATATCAGTTATTTCCTGTTAATTCCCCTCTGCAAGTTTTCCACTGCCTTAACCGGGTATTGAACTCACACTCTTTGGGTCCTCTCACTGGATTTGACCAACGCCCTTATCCACTGTGTCATGTGTCACAATCGTGCTTCTTAGCCTTCTACATGGAACCAAGTTTAGGTCATTAAACATTGTCACTTTTATTTGAGACCCCCCCCCAATGCTGCATCTGCATCTTTCTCAAACATCACTTGCACATCACTAAGATGGAGATTGTCAACTCGACCTGGGATACACGCATAATCTGTTACAAAAGATTTTGATTGCGTCTGAAAGACGACGTTTTAAGGACGAATGATGGTCGTCTTTTAAAATCTCTCTTATTCTAGCTTCCACAGAAGCGATACAAAGATTCCTCAAAAAGCGCCATCATCACTTATGGAATTAACTACTGTCAGAGAACAATAACAAACGACAGACAGACAGACAGAGACATGGCCACACAAGGTCTACTTGGTAACCCCGTTTTGCCGAAGCAAAATCAGAGGAAAATAAGGCGATACTGATAACCAGTTGCTTCCCTCATTTGCCAGATGTTCTTCAATTCTTGTCATTGGAAAAAACCCTTCCCTTTCTTCTGTCAAGCAATGATGTATATATATATATATATATATATATATATATATATACAACCGTAACGAGTAATGTTATTGAAAATAAAAAGTGAAATATCCGAGTTTAAACTGCTGATATTTACGATAAACATTCCCTCCTCAGGTTCAGAGTTGACGTAGGACAAACCTTTTAGTCTTCTGACGTCATTAATACCGTAATCTGTTTGGAGTTGAGCAGCGGTATCACATCTACTGCAGTGGCGGGGGGACATATGAGTAAACGGGCGAGATATCATGAGGGGCGTCTAATTCCTCTTTAGGCTGGTTTTAAATTGTTTTTCGTCCCCTAGAACAGTTGCCAATCAAAGATAGAGGATACAACCCACCCTGCTACCTAAGCCCTAGTTGGAATGGGGGAGAAGAAAAGGATCCGTGCCTTTGCCAAGAGTATTTATGGGAAAGTGAATGCAACAGTCTAGCGCAGTAATCGAACCTGGTACGCGGAATCACTTTTCCGTGACGATATCCGTTACAATGCCCCCACATCTGTGTATTTATCTATCAAGTGAAGAGTACAGAAAGAGATGACTATTGGTATTCGAAAGATAAAATAGTCTGACTTAATGTAAACGGAATGAGAGGGAGAGCCGCCATTGTAAAAGATGATTGAATGAATAAATACAAATTTAAACTGTCTCATCTTCAGAGTTAATGGTCTCACTAAATCTTTTACATTCAATATTCGTCGCCATCTTGCTTTAAAATCTGCGAACATAAATTTTCTGATAAATAAGAAAACAAATAATGTATTGAAAACTTTTGTGAAACAGTAATTGCATTCTTACATTCCTTTATAATTGTCTGCCTCATTTAAAATCTGTAGTTTTGATTAAATTTCACTTAATACCCGTTAAAACTTGATAGAGAACTCATTTGGGTATATAAATCGAACGCTTATTTATCGGAATTTTGGAGATGATGAATTATTTTTATTCGCTTTGCTATTCAAATCGGCTTACACGTCTTAGTTGTTACAATTATATCTTTGCCAAGGTTGTGCCATCCGGCGTTTTTCTCGTCTCAATTTGTACTGAGTAACAATCTAGTAATGTTGAATGGAATCGATTGGGATCTTATTCTCATCGACTAGGTCAGGCGTTTCTTTATGGTCTCTGTTCTGAAGCAGGGGCGGATCCGGGGAAGGGGCGTAGAGGTTGTACGCACCTACCTAAAATTTCTGAGAAAATATTTTTTCGTACAAAGTAGATAAGGTACGTTATAAAGCGTGAAGACAAATTTAATGTGCTTGTTCTTTCGTATGTTCACAAAGACATTCAGTTAGACTATGATAAAATCATGAGCCTCTGTGAATAAGAATCCACAAAAATTGATTTAATTAATCCTCTTTCATAAACGCTATAGATAATCAAACTTTTATTTTAAAAGCATTAATTTACAATTTTATATATCAAATGAATAAAAGAAAACAAATTATATATATATATATATATATATATATATATATATATATATAGATAGATAGATAGATAGATAGATACACCTAGTGAGCCAGACAAACCTACCTAGGTTTCACCTAAACGGATCGTCAGGGAATTTCCCTGACGATCCGTTTAAATGAAACCTTGGTAGGTTTGTCTGGCTCACTAGGTGTATCTAGGTCTGCTCTACGGTTGTATTGAGCTCTTTTGTTAGTTAGTTGTTACTCGTATCAGGGTTTTTTTTTAAAAGGGCTTCAGACCTGCATCTGTGCGATTTTTTTGTCGGCAGAAGTTCATGTTTGTAGCTCTTTCTTTTTTAAAACCTTTTTTCCCTCGAGATTGATTTGATTAGCAAATCAAAAATTCGAGGGTGTTTCAAAACGAGTCTAGTTTTCTATATTTATATGTGTATATATATATATATATATATATATATATATATATATACACTCCCTCTCTACTCTCTCTCTCACACTCATTTCTATAACTTAATATATATGACCACAGAATTTAAAATTTGGAATTGAGATTTTTAATGAAGAGATCGCACTCTCTAACTGAAAATACTGGATCCGCCCCTGTAAGGAAGGGACATGACATTAAAATAGTGGAACTTACTTTAAGTCTTATTACAAATGATTTACATTATTCGGAATATTGTCCTCATCTTTGTCGCCATATTTATCACAACGTTTCGGCTGTTGTACGCTCCAGCCTTCTTCAGGTGGTTGCAATATTTATTACAAGGACACATGGCACAATGGATAAAGGCGTTCGTTAGATCCAGTGACAGGACCCAAAGAGTGTGAGTTCAATACCCGATTAAGGCAGTGGAGAACTTTCAGAGAATTTCAGAAAATTAACAGGAGATAACTGATAACTGACATCCGTTAAACATGGCACGTAGAACTAGTCTACTCCAGTCACCGAAATAAAGGGTTCAGTTCGACATTTCAACCACCTGAAAACGGCTGGAGCGTACAACGGCCGAAACGTTGTAATAAATATGGCGACAAAGATGAGGACAATAGTCCTAATAATGTACATATTTCTGTTACCTCAAATTTCCTCTTCATATATGAGGAAATTATCCAGCATTATTACTTAGCAGTTAAGCACGTTATTTTTTTGTTTCTTTTTTTTTGTTTCTTTTTTTGTTTCTTTTTTTTTGTTTCTTTTTTTGTTTCTCTTTTTTTTGTTTTCTTTTTTTGTTTCTCTTTTTTTTGTTTTCTTGTTTTGTTTTCTCTTTTTTGTTTTGTTTTCTTTTTTTTTGTTTCTTTTTAACGGAATGTTTTGCATTTAATCCTACTTGGTATGTCCAATGCAACATTGGATTTCGGGGCCGCATTTTCCATCGAATGTTAGTATCTGAATATAATTGAAAAAGAAATAAGACATTTCATAAATTAATTTCACCGGACTTTCTTTTCACTTCCCTCTGCGTGTAATAATGTAGAAATCGTTAAGGTTTTAGGAAATCAAAACTAAGATGCTGACGAGAAACAACACGCAAAAAACTCTTTCGGGATTTGCGTAACTCCAAAGAGAGTTGTTTTTCTTTTCTTCCTATTATTTCAAATATGAGCCAAAATAAAAAAAAATATATACTTTTGTTTTAATAAAAAGAAAAAAAAATGACTGTCCTTAGTTCCAATTCGTGTCGATCGCAATTTATTTTCTAGATAAAATGGCTGATGCGTTTATATTAAAATAGATTTGGTGACTCTAAGCCAAAATCATTTGCTTTTTAAACCTCTCGTGATTTTTATAGCTACCTCCATATTTTATCTGTGGTTATTGTTTTTTTTTCTTCTTTGTTTTTCATTATTTTCCTTTCTTATATTTTTCTTTTGTTTCTTTTTCTTTATTCTTTTCATTTGATTTAATACTTGTTTTTTGTTTGTTAGTTCTTTTGTTTTAGGAGTGTTTGTATTTTTTTGTTTTAATTAATTCGTTTATTTCTTGTTCAAAATAAGCTATTCATCTTCTATGTAAAATTCGTTTTCTAAAAAAAAGTATTTATTTATCTCTTTATTTCCTTTCGTTCCTTTCTTTCTGTTTAACTTATAAAACGCTGACCGGAAGGTCAGTTGTTTATTTATTTATTTTTTGATAGACTTTTGAGGAAATATTAAATATTATGGTCTTCGTGGTCTTGGTCGAAAACTTTTTGTTTTCAAAAAGGAACACAGTCATTTGCTGCAAAGAATAAGAATACACTTCATATCAATTTCCTTAAGGTACAAATATAAAAATAAGGCGAAAAGAAAAACAATAACGTTATCCCTCTCAACATTCAGTGAGTGGGCAAATTAGAAAACCCGTTTAAATATTAACAGAAACACACACACACACACACACACACATATATATATATATATATATATATATATATATATATATATATATATATATATATATAGACAATATAAAGGTCAGTACGAGATGTATTAATGTCCACAAATATAATCAAAATTGCCAAAAAAATTCACTACCTATTTTCAACTTATTAGAAAGGTTTATGGCCATATCCCATTGAATTACTGGATCACTTAAGCAATTTTGGGTTTGACTTCAAGTGCTGTAATCATGGATGTGCAGGTGGCGTAATGGATAACAGCGTTGAATGAGAAACCTGAGAGACAGTTCGAATTCCATTCGGGATTGTTATAATCATTTACGTGTAAATACCCTTCGAAAATACTCTCTGCTTCTCACGAATATGGTTTAAATATTAGGGCTTTTATCGGAAAATCGCTACCTCCCTAAAATTCTTACAATCTTAGGTCATTTTTGAACGAGTTGATCACCATGCATTTCATCCATATATATATATATATATATATATATATATATATGTGTGTGTGTGTGTTTTTCCTTATTTCCACACGAACAAAACAGAATAGGTTATTATTTATGCGGTAAAGTACGTACTTACGAACGAAGAGAGGGAAACCAGAATTATAAGATTACTATTATTGGTAGTAGTAGTAGTTTATTTATTTATTAGTAGTAAACAAAATGATTGACGTAACTATTCCCATATTTTTCAAAACTTAGAGAAGAGCGCGATTGAACAAAGTAAAAAAAAAAAAAGAAAGAAAGAAAAGACAGTGTTTGACATTGTTTAAAAATGTCTCTGTCAAGTTATGTTTAAAAATTGTATACAAGTACAAAAATATAAAATATCTGCAGAAAGTAATAAGTCTTTGTCAAACGTCGCTTGTCTTGAGGAAATGGCTGTACAGGTAACAAACGCGTCAAAGTGAATAAATCACAGCCAAACGCGAATGGCATGCAGCTGAAAAGTGTGTAATATGATGGTGCATGTCTTGGAATTCTCCCTTAGTTGGAATTAAGAGGAATCAATCAAACAGCTTACTAGAATCTTCTGGAAATATCCTGCCATTCTGTTCACCTTTGACCCAAGGGCTGGGTGTTAGTAGTTTGCGTATGGAACTACCCCCATGTGTTTTAAGGGCCGTAAGTTTGGTCGACTCTAATTTTTTTTTTTTTTTAATATGTACACTTTAACATGTGTCAAAATTAGAGTTGTTTGTAACAAAATATTATTATTGGGCGCTGCTCTTGAAAATGGTCTCCAGTCAATTGGCATCTATTATTTTATTGTTGAAATAGTTAAGTGTAACCCCCCACTTCTCCACACGTTTATTTTCTCACACTTCCAGACAGTAGCACTCTCTTACGTTTATTTGCTTCCCTGATAACTATAATCTTTAAAAGCTTTAAAAAATGCAACATCAATCGCCATTATTGTCTTCTTGAATCCCGTTCATCTTTTATCTTTTCATCAGTTCCTCCTACACCCAGTCTTTTCGTTCAGTTTCACTCCCTATAACCCCCAACGTACTAGTGGCACTCCCGCCTCTCTTGAGGTGAAATGATTAAAAATATATTTTTTATTAGCGATTAAAAAGATAAAGGAAAGACAAAACACAGTGTTTGACAATATTAAACAATATTTCAAGGCATATTTAAACAATTTTTTTTTGCAAGTATAAAAAGATATAAATCTACAAAAAAATATAACTTATTATCTTGTAATGAAAAAACTCAACTGGTAATAAACGCGTCAAAACGAATGAAACTCTCCAGCGTGAAGGTATGCAATTAAAACATATTTAATATGATGGTGATCTTCATCTTGAAATTGTACGTTAGTTGATTAGTTATTATAAGGAATTGATCAAACAGCTTTGTACAGATCTTAGAAACTTTCTTGTCATTCTGTTTATTGCCCCCCTCCGGATCGAGAAGTCAGTTATTTACTTACATAACCATCCTCATGTGTTTTAAGGGTCGACATGTTGGTAGATTTTAAATATTTTTTGTCAGAATGTGTACCTTAAGATGTCTGTCGTAATATGTATGTTTGATATGTATTTAATGCAATACTTGATTGAATGAATTGATCAGTAGATTTCAACATTGATATAATTGAACTCTCGCAACAAATATCTATTTTAAGACATTATGCACTGATTGATAATTTCTTGTTCAAATTGACGGCCATATTGTCTCATCTTGGTCTTGTCGAGGTCACCTCAATGTGTTTCTCCTCCTATGTTTTGGATAGGAATCATTCCGTTGTTATAATTTAAACTTAATTTAAATCGAAGTGAAAAAAAAATTCAGTGGGTGAGATTGCCACACCCTACCCCACCCCGGGGATCCCCTTTCACCAAAATGAAATATACTTATCAAAAGAACCTAAGAGTCATTCCCTTGTTCCAATTTAAATCTGAATTATATGAAAGGAAAAAACTCAGGTGGAGGTGTGTCCCACCAGGTATCCGCTTTGATAAAAATGAAATATACTTATCCAAGTACCCTGGGTAATGTAGTTTCAGAATACATATGGTTATGGGTGTCTAACCCCAAAAAGTAAGAAACAGTTCGATAACAAACAGACAGAAACTTTATATATATATATATATATATATATATATATATATATATATATATATAATTAAATCAGTTAATTTATAATATTAATGCTCTGTAAATTTACATTGAGCAATATTTTGTAAAAATAAAAATATCAATAAGAACACCGGATTATATATCTTACTGTTCTTTCTTTCTTATATATATATATATATATATATATATATATATATATAAAAAGTAGAGGTAATATTATTATTTATTGGTGGGAGATGTAGTAGTGGTATTATTATTAACAATAATAAACACAATAAGACGGGGGTGGCATTAGTAGTAAAGTGTAACCCGGATATAAGAGAGTTGTTGTGACCGGAGACTAAGTCTCTTATATCCGGGTTTGGTCTATTTTATATACATTAACACAGGCTCTAATTTAGGACCAGAGAAAATCTCTCTTATATCCGGGTGTCTCTTATATCCGGGTTAAACTGTAGTATAAATATTCACTTTTCAAACAATGTACCAGCATCAACTGATATGTCATAACTAATTATACTTCAACATCCTTGTCATTTAATTTCTGAAAACTTCCGAAAAAAGACATACATAAATGTAAAAGTAACCGGTACAGTTATAACTTACTAGCAGTAGAGCCCGGCGTAACAGTAAGAGATAGACCAAGTATCGACCATCATAAAGACTGAAAAATAAAATTGACAAAGATTATTGTTTAAGGTTGACAGACGCGCATGTTTTAATTAGTTTTTGTTTTGTTTTGTTAGTTTTTTTTACGAATTGGTCAAACCCAAACTGAAACAAAAACATTGTTTTCAATCATTATGAATCTATCGATTGAATAGAATTTTATTATAAACAATTGTCTTGTAAATGGAATTTTAAAGCATTCTGAATGTAAAAATAAAGAAAAAAGTGTGCAAGATAATAAGAAACACTACCTGCCAAAAAAAAGTTTTATTGAAATCGGATGAAAAATGTAGAAAATCCGATCCCATATATAAACGAACACACACACACACACACAAAAAAAAACCTGGATTTTATATTAAGTATAACTCGCTATGAGTTGTCCCCCTTTCATTCTCGTGACAGCGATACCTCTTAATCGTGTTTTCAAATTGATTTCGTGCAAAAACAATTGTGTTTTTCCAATTTTTGGTGCTGTCAGAACCACCGCAAGGTAATTTTACATAGTTCTGTGAAGTTTTGTTGAAATCGTTGAAAAATGTAGGAAATCTGATCCAATATATAAACGTACAGACACACACACAGACAACCTGGGTTTTATGATAAGCATGATTTACATTTACATTGAATTATAATTTTACTTTTTATAAAATGTTTTCTTTTTCTTTACTGTAATCATGTAGGATATTTTAATTACTATGTCTTCTTGCTTGATATCCAGCTGTCCTACAAGATCGATTTATATATAAAGTAATTTTGTCTGTTCTCGCTAATGTACTTTAGTAATGTTTATGTAATGGATCTGATAGCTTACTTGAAATATTGCGTACTTAAATACAATAATATGCTTTTTCTGAAAATCGACTACTTCTGTTCTTTTTTTTTTTTTTTTTTTTTTTTTTTGTTTTTCTTTCATGTCGTCAAATACAGCACACCAAAATATTGCTCACAGAAATTACTGAAAAAAAAAAAAAAAAAAGCAGATTTATGTCTGGAAAAATAAAGATGAAAATGTATTTCATTGAATTATCCCAGTATCATATGTCGGCTAGAGTGCAACCCACGTAAGAGATGTTTCTCCATTGACGAGCGACGGTCGGTTGAAAGTTTTCCCTACAAATCCCCTCAATTTAATTGCATGTACTTAAAATCGTTTTGAAGACTTCTTGCTGGCTGATGTATAGACATCTTTCCTAGCTTCAAACAAATATATTCGATGAAGACAGTAAATAGTAATTTTGAAGTTAGATCCCAGCGTATATCCTGGA